GTGGGTGTTGAACAATGAGAACACACGGACACAGGGAAGGGAGCACCACACACTGGGGTCCGTTGGGGGGAAATGGGGGAGGGACGGGGGTCGGGAGTTGGGGAGAGATAGCATGGGGAGAAATGACAGATACAGGTGAAGGGGAGGAAGGCAGCAAATCACACCGCCACGTGTGTACCTATGCAACAATCTTGCATGTTCTTCACATGTACCCCAAAACCTAAAATGCAATTAAAAAAAAAAAAAAAGAAGAGGAAGATAGGGATTGAGGGAAGGAGATGTGCAGCCTTCTATTTTCATTTGCTGTTGTTGCCAGGGGTTGGAAAATGGCAGAGCACTTGACTCCTCTTTTGGAATAACGTAACGAATCCCATCTGGCAGTGTCTTTTTTTTTTTAAGTGGACTCTTAAAGGAATTGCGGAAGAGGCAGTATAGTCTTGGTGACTCCACTTCACTGGCTGAATCAGCCACTGGGACTGAGTGGCACAGGCCCAGCTTAGCTGCCTGGAATCCCAGCAGTCCCGGAGGAGCCTGAGTACTGGAGCCAAGCTGGCTAGATTGGGTCCCCATACTTTTCTTTCAACATTCTCTTAATGGAAATCACAGAACTAGCATCCTTACTTCAGAAAGGCAGTTTTTTCTTTTGGAATAAAAAAAAAAATCACGGACTAAGGAAACAATTATCCAATTTACAATTATATAAGATGATCTCATTTTATATGTTAAAAGGTGGCAGATAAAATAATTTTTTGGAAGAAGAAGTAACTCATATTTAGAGCATTTTATTAGCAAGGTATTTTAACTATTTCTCATAGTTTCTGTTGCATAAATGTCACATACCTTTAAAAATATGTTAGAGTCCATCCTCCATGGGTTCCACATCTGTAGACTTCACCAACCACAGATCAAAAATATTTGAAAAAAAATGTGTCTTTACTATGTATAGACTTTTTTCTCTTGTCATTATTCCCTGAACAATACAGTATAACAACTATATTTATAGCATTTAAATTGTATTAGGTATTGCAAGTAATCTAAAAATGACTTAAAGTATACAGGAGAATGTGCATAGGTTGTATGCAAATATGACATCATTTTACGTCAGGAACTTGAGCGTCTGTAGATTTTGGTAGGTGCAACAGGTCCTAGAACCAATCCTCCACAGACACTAAGGAACTACTGTATTTATTCTCAACTTGATTGCGTAACTATAGACTGTCTTCTTCGGTGGGCAGAATCTGAGGAATGGAGGAATATAAAGTTCATATTTTTTCTCGTCATTCATTGATTTTTAAACATTTATGGGGCTGATCCTGGCAATTATTTGCAGGTCATTCTTTTTACCTCAAAGAATTTTTTTTTTTTTTTTTTTTTGAGACGGAGTTTCGCTCTTGTTACCCAGGCTGGAGTGCAATGGCGCGATCTCGGCTCACCGCAACCTCCGCCTCCTGGGTTCAGGCAATTCTCCTGCCTCAGCCTCCTGAGTAGCTGGAATTACAGGCACGTGCCACCATGCCCAGCTAATTTTTTGTATTTTTAGTAGAGACGGGGTTTCACCATGTTGACCGGGATGGTCTCGATCTCTCGACCTTGTGATCCACCCGCCTCGGCCTCCCAAAGTGCTGGGATTACAGGCTTGAGCCACCGCGCCCGGCATACCTCAAAGAATTTTTATGATATAAGGATATGAAGAAGTCTATATAAGGGATGACATGCTTTACTTAGAGAATATATATTACTTTATAATAAACTGTAAATAAAGCAATAGGTATGGGGAGTCCTTTTTACTTTTAGTCAACACTGGGTTAAGTGCTTTGGGCATTCATGTGTACCCTCAGAGAGTTTACAGTCCTGATGGAAAGAAAACCCAACGTTTATGCAACACCAGTACACATTGTGAGACAAGGGAAAATTATGTGCCAATTTATAGGGTACAGGCTACCTACAGTGTAGAAAGAAGTACAGAGGCAAGAGGAAGAAGGAGAAACATGATTTCCTTTAAGGATCCCAGATGAAGATGGATTAGACAATATTAAGAGAAAGAAGACTCCATTGATAGAAGCAAATATAAGAATTTTCACAGAACTAGGGGTAACCTTTAGATAGATTCCTTGGGATTTTTTACGTACACAATCATGTTATCTGCAAATGGAGGCACTTTGCTATCTTCCTTTCTAATGTATATGCCTTTTATTTCCTTTTCTTGTCATATTGCACTGGTTAAAAGTTCTAACACTGTGTCAGATAAGACTGTTAAGAGCTGACATTCTTGCCTTTTTCCCAATCAGGAGCAAAGTTTTAGCCTTTCATTTTTAGCCATAATGTTTGCTGAAAGCTGTTGATCAGTTTCAATTCTTTTTAACTTTGTTGATGTTTTATGGACTAGAATATAGTCTGTCTTGGCATACCTTCTGTGACACTTGGAAAGAATGCGTATTCTGCTGTTGTTGATTGGATTGTTCTATTAATGTTGATTAGATCTTGTTGCTTGATGGTGCCACCCAGTTCTATATCTTTGCAGATTTTCTAGCTAGTCATTCTCTCAACTTTTAAGAGAGGACTGTTAAAGTTTACAAGTCAACTGTGAATTTATTTCTCATGTTATTTCTACAAGTTTTTGCTTCACATGTTTTGTAGTTTTACAAAGCATGCAGAACTTACTGTTTGGTGCATACACATTTAGGATTGCTATGTCTTCTTGACAGATTAGGCTTCATCCTCATATAATGTCTCTCTCATTCTCTGGTAATTTTCTTTGCTCTGAAGTCTACTTTCCCTGAAATTAACCACTCCTGCGTTCCACTGACCAATATTTTCATGTCTATTTTCATCCCTTTGCTTTCAGTTTGCCTGTAGCATTATATTTGAAGTAAGTGTCTTACAACAGCATATAGTTCAGCTGTATTTTTAAATTCATTCTGTCAGTCTCTATCTTTAAATTGGTATGTTTGGGATATTTACATTTAATATATTCATTGATATGTTGGGGAGGTTAAATCTGTGTGTGTGTGTGTGTGTGTGTGTGTGTGTGTGTGTGTGTCTTTTGTTTGTTCACTGATTTTTTAATCTCTGTGCAGGGGAAGAGCAGGGGTTGGTCACCTATCTTCCTATGGGTTACCTGAACATGTAGTAGAATCCCACTTTAATTTGTCTTTGTGTTTTCGAGTACATCTCTTTGTATAGCCTTTTTAATGTTTGCTGAAACTCTTAGTGTGGATTTGGCCTCATTACTGATGGGTGATGTAGAAAGTCCTAACTCTCCACTAGGCCTCCTCTGACACCTCCCAGAGGGATGGGAAAGATACACTTCATTACAGCCAGGAAGGGATGGAAGTCCAGGCTCCTCATGTGGTCCCGATTGATACTGCAGTGGTGGTGGTGGTGGTGGTGGTGGCAGTGGAGAATGGACGAGGGCTCATTACCACCCTCTGGGGATAAAAATCCCAGCTCCCAGTTTATCTCTGACATCACCCTGGTAGGAGATGGAGCCTCGAGGGGTCCATCAGGGGGTACCTCATTATACCCTGTCAAGGGTGGAAGTCTATGCTCCCCACTCTGTCTTTGGTGGTGAGGATGAGGCCGTAGTTTTTTCTGCGGTGTTTGGCTACAGTCGAGTAGTCATCGTCTGAAAGTTTTTGGTCTTGCTAGGCTTCCTCTTTCTTGGCCATTTTGGGAGAGAGAGCGGACTTTTCTTGGGGCTTTTTTGGTCTGCTTCCATTGGCACTTTCAGGTAGCTGCCTTCTTCAGCTCCTAGTCTGGGATAATAAGCCAAAAAGGTAACTCGGGGAGTTTGCCATTGAATTATTCTTGGTCCCTAACATCCCTAGCTGGTCTGCTCTCATCTCTCCACCTTTCAGAGTCTATTTTTTAAAACATGGCATGTCTAGGACATTTCCCCCTGGGGCCAGCACTAATGTGAAGGCCTGGCTGCTTCTGGGTACAGTCATCACTTGCTGGGAACAACTTTGGATTCAAATAGACCTTAGTTCCCAGGTGTGTGACCTCGGGCAAATGGCTTCACCTCTCTAAACAGCAGTCTTTTTATCTAAGGATAGAGGGATTTCATATCTGTAAAATCAGTATTTATATTGTAAGAATTAAATAAAATAACATCTATGAAGCATAGTGTTAAACATGTAGTAACCTCTCAATAATTCTAGCCCTGACCACTTATTCATCATAAGACACCCTTTTGTCATTGTAAACTCTTTTTTTCTTTTCTTTTCTTTTTTTTTTTTTTTTTTGAGACGGAGTTTCACTCTTGTTACCCAGGCTGGAGTGCAATGGCACAATCTCGGCTCACTGCAACCTCCGCCTCCTGGGTTCAGGCAATTCTCCTGCCTCAGCCCCCTGAGTAGCTGGGATTACAGGCACGCGCCACCACGCCCAGCTAATTTTTGTATTTTTAGTAGAGACAGGGTTTCACCATGTTTACCGGGATGGTCTCGATCTCTTGACCTCGTGATCCACCCGCCTCGGCCTCCCAAAGTGCTGGGATTACAGGCGTGAGCCACCGTGCCCGGCTGTAAACTCTTAATACATACCATTTTTAAAGGCCGTACAACATCCTCTTGTATGAGTGTTCTATAATTAAACATTCCCTCCTAAGGTGAGACATCTAAGTAATCTTTAGTTTTTCAGTTTTATAAATGAGATTGCCATCTTGGTGCTTAAATATCTGTTTTCACTTTGGAACACTTCCTTAAGTGCAGCTTCTTTGAGGTAGAATTACAAAGTGACGGGAAAGAACCTTCTGGAAAGGTGGTACCAAGATTGCACTAGCAATGAGAGAGAGAGACACTTCTGATTTTCAAACTCGATATTTTCATTTGCTGAGGAGTGATTTACTTCCAATTATGTGGTCAGTTTTCGAGTGGGTGTGATGCGGTGCTGAGAAGAATGTATATTCTGTGGATTTGGGGTGGAGGCTTCTGTAAATGTCTATTAGGTTTGCTTGGTCCAGGTCTGAGTTCAAGTACTGGAAACTTTATATTTTCTAGAAGCATCAGATGGTGAAGGAGGAGGAAGAGACACAGAAGTGATGCAGCAGGAGACAGTTCCAGTTCCTGCATCTTCAAAGAAAACCAAACAGGTAAGGGGTCACTGTGGGAGAGCCGCCAGTGTTACATTCTGAAATCAGCCTCTTCCTCCCCTCTTGAACCCCCTGTGTGCTAATGTCAGTTGTTGCTGGGATTTAAGAGAACGCTTTGCCTTCTTTCCCTTTGAAAGGCCATGGGCCATGCTTCTGTCATTGGAAACCAGCAAGGTCTGGTTTTTGCCCGAATTCTTTCTCTTCCTTTTCTTTTTTTTTCTTTTTTTTATTTTTTGGACAAGATCTTGCTTTATCACCCAGGCTGTAGTACAGTGGTGCAATCATGGCTCACTGCAACCTTGACCGTCGGGGCTCAAGCGATCCTGCCACCTCAGCCTCCCGAGTAGCTGGGATACCACAGGCATGCGCCACCACAATCAGCTAATTTTTTTGTGTTTTAGAGAGATGGGTTCTCCGTGTTGCTCAGGCTGGGCTCAAGAAATCCACCCACGCTGGCGTCCCAAAGTGCTGGGATTACAGATATGAGCCACTCCTCCTGGTTCCTAATGTTTTTGTAACTTTGTAAATGCATTTCGCAATGATGATCTCTTAGATTGTTGGGCCACGTTTTTGTCAGAAATCCAGCCTTATGCTTTTGAGGGTACAATTCCTAAAAGGAGACAAATAGCATAAAGATATAGAAGATACCCACGCACTCAAGTGCATGGTTACAGCACCAGGCCATGCTGCTAACAGGCTCCTGGAACCATATTTCTGCCCAGCACTATGGTCTGACATATGCATTCTTTTTTTTTTTTTTTCGAGACAGAGTTTCATTCTTGTTGCCCAGGCTGGAGTGCAGTGGTGCGATCTCAGCTCACTGCAACCTCTGCCTCCTGGGTTCAAGTGATTCTCCTGCCTCAGCCTCCCAAGTAGCTGAGATTACAGGTATGCGCCACCACACCCAGCTAATTTTTTGTTTTTAGTAGAGACGGGGTTTCTTCATGCTGGTCAGGCTGGTCTTGAACTCCCAACCTCAGGTGATCCGCCCGCCTCGGCCTCCCAAAGCGCTGAGATTACAAGTGTGAGCCACCGTGCCCGGCCTGTCATATGCATTCTTAACAGGGGATTGTGGCCTTTGCATAACCAGAAGTAGCCATTTGGGTAATCTTTCTTCCTAATCCTGTGACCTTTTATTGCCTTTTGAATCTTCCTACTTACTTTAGAAATGCCACGCATCCATTTGTAGCTTTTTCTCGTTGGGTTTCCGTCAAACCTGATTGGTATTTAGGTTGATGCAAAAGTAATTGTGGTTTTCCCATTACTTTTAATTTAAAAAATTACTTTGCACTAACCTAATACATCTATGTGATTTGGGTTTTTTGGTGTGTGTGTGTCGGTGGGGGAGGGGTTGAGATAGGGCTTTGCTGTGTTGCCCAGGCTAGAGGACAGTAACACACAATCATGGCTTACTGCAGCCTCAACCTTCCAAGCTCAAGGGATCCTCCCACCTCAGTCTCCTGAGCAGCAGGGACTACAGATGTGCCTCACCACACCTGACTAATTTCTTTATTTTTTTGTAGAGATGGGGTCTCACTATGTTACCCAGGCTGGTCTCGAACTTCTGGGTTCAAGTGATCCTCTTTCCCTTGGCCTCCCAAAGTGCTGGGATTACAGGCATGAGCCACAGTGCCTGGCCTATGTGGGATTTTTCAAAGACTGTCTACTACCAACCCAAAGTTACCATCTTTTTCATAGCAGCAATCTGGGGTCTTATTCTTATTATAGATGCTTTAAACTCATTCCACAATAGCGTGATTCCACCCAAAGTTTGTGACTTAGCTCAAGATAACTGTGAGAAGCAACTTCGTATAGTGTTGCTTAACTTGCCCGCTTAGGTGGGCAAGTTAAATTTCTCTGTGAGTCAGTAACCTTCTTGGTAAATGATAATCGTTATGTCTTCCTCGCAGAGCTGTAGTGATGATTAAATGAATGTGTACTTGTTAATCACTTCAAGCAGTAGTTAGCAAAGAGTAATCACTGAAGTGTGCATGATTATAGTTATAACTATAACTCTATTATATTATAATTATTATATTATAATCTTGTTTATTTTGTCCGTTGCTTTTTCTTCCTGGGAAGGGAAATGCAGAAAGGTATACGTGTTTGATATATAATCATCTTGGTTTTTTCTCCAACCATTAAATATTTTGCTTAAGGCCCTATGCTGGTTTTAGTCTTAATCATTCTTCTGGAAACTTACAGGATAACACACCCTTAGGTTTTCAATTTATTTCCTCAAGGTGGGGTTTAAGTTTTCCTTAGCTTAGGCCACTCCCCATGCCCTAGTCATGCCCTCTTTGACTCTTGCCTCTAATCAGTGTATACCTACAGAACTAATTTACACATCTTCTTCATACTCCACTGGCTTTTGTTCTTCCTTAATCTTCTGCAGGCTTGTCCTTACTCTTTCTGGACCCATTGGTAAAAGAGTAAAGACCTTTTATCGAGCAGTTAACACTGTCACTGTGTAAGGCGCTCTGGAACATACAATCGTCACAGCATCCCCAGGAGGGAGATGGTACCCACTTTACAAGAACCAGAGGCTCAGAGAGACAGGTTCTGGGGGTCATGGCCCAACTGGCTGGCTGTGAGCCAGGCTCTGAGGATACTGTTGCTTGCATTTCCCTTGCTACCTGTCCATTCTCTTTCAGCCCGGGAAAATTGTATTAACCGTGTTCTCACGTGTTTCTCTGGGCACATGCTATTGCTGTTTTCTGCAAAGTGAAAAAAAAAATGACAAAACCTTAAGATGTTACTGCCCATTTTAATCACCTTTGTCTTGCTTTAACTTCTTTCACCACCAAATTGCTTGGAAGAGTCCAAGTCCTCGATATGCAAAATACCCTAACTCCTTTCTCCGACTCTAACCTAATTTCCCTGGCCAGAGAAATATCCTTTTTGTCTGAGTTGATGTGAGAATCTGTATGTGCCCCTCTGCCTCCTATGAGCATTGCCCATCTAGGTCCCTGCTCATTCCCAGGAGACTCACCTTAAGGACAGATTTTATCTGTGTCTCTACGGCATCTGGCGTGGAACCCTGCCCTTAACTGGCACTCATTATTTGTCAAGTGAAGGAATGAATGACCATCCTGGTATCCCCGTTTTCTCGTGACTCTTCTCGTCTCGGCCCTTTGTCCCAGCATGGAAGCCATGAGCTCCCTGACACAGCTGCCTGCAGAGGTCTCTTAGGGCCTTGTGATGTAGAGTCCCTCCTCCAGCCACATCCCTGATCTTCCCAACACAGCTCCCTCCTTGAAAGGCTCCCCCACCTTGACGTTCAGGGCTGGGGTCCTCTCCACCCCTGCCTGCCCACACCGTCCCTCCGGCTCCCCTGCGGGCTCCTTCGTCCTCCCTCCCCCACTGCTCTCCTCCCTCTGGAACTCATCCCACCACCCCAAGGATGACTGATTGCCAGGCATTCCGTCCGTAAGTCCTTCTCTGATTGTTACATGCATAGAACTGGAGTCTCCAGCTGGTCCGTAAATCCCTTAGGGCCAGATTTTCTTTTGTGTCCACTGAGGTACCTAACACGGCTTTGGGCTCTATTTGGCAGATATGATCAGATGTATGTTTTCTAAATATAACTGTATGTTTTCTAAGTATATGTTTTCTAAATATAATGTATGTTTTCTAAATATAACTGCATTTTTTTCTGGATCAATTTAAAAAATTACGCTATATTTAAATTTTGATTTTCTTCCAATTTGCTTAAGATCGCTCTGTTCTTTCAGTTTTTCTTTTTTTTTTGAGACGGAGTTTCGCTCTTGTTACCCAGGCTGGAGTGCAATGGCGCGATCTCGGCTCACTGCAGCCTCCGCCTCCTGGGTTCAGGCAATTCTCCTGCCTCAGCCTCCTGAGTAGCTGGGATTACAGGCACGCGCCACCACGCCCAGCTAATGTTTTGTATTTTTAGTAGAGACGGGGTTTCACCGTGTTGACCAGGATGGTCTCGATCTCTCGACCTCGTGATCCACCCGCCTCGGCCTCCCAAAGTGCTGGGATGACAGGCTTGAGCCACCGCGCCCGGCCCTTTCAGTTTTTCTTAATGCTTGCACAGCAACTGCTTGGCATGATGCTGTCAGCTGTAATATACATTTAGGCTTTGATATCGCCAGTCTAGATCATCTGTCAAGGTAGATGACATTCCCTCCTTTGCCGTAGCTGGGCCTCGCATTTACGTCACTGAATACACGCCTCCAGTCTGTTTAGTATTTTAAGCAGTAGATTTATAACTTTAAAGTTTTTAAAACCATGCAACTACCTCATCTCTAGCCACCAGTTCACATCTAAATAATCATCCTTGGCCTGCCTAATAATGTGAGTATAAAGATTTGCCAACAGTTCTTTTTCCCCCAGTAATCACTTCCAAAATAAATGATGAATTCCCTACTCCTAGAGATTGCGTCACCCCTTCCCTCTCCAACATCAATCAGTTCAGAGCCAGCGTTAGTGACTTGTAATTATGGTTCCCAGAACATAAACCCTTAAGAAGGAGTCTGTGACTTTTCCTTGATGCTTCCATGATGTCAGTAGCACTTCAGTGGTTCCATGACCCGTCTTCGCCTGCTCAGAGGCCACAGTGGACTTTTTTCTTCTGCTGGCCTTTTGTTTATCTCCTTGAATCTTAAAGGAATCTTGAGCAAGAGTGTATATCCCTTTCCCTTCTGAGCCTCCACTATTGTATATTCTTGCTGCTGCTTTATGTGAGCATTGATCATTTCGTATTTCTTCCACTCTTTATCTCTAAGATGATGCTTATCTGTTAAGAGAAAACAGGATTATGTCTCATTCATTCTCTGAATCACCTTCTTCCTTCTCATTATGCTTTCTTAATTCTGTCCCTCCTGTTAATCGATTGTTGCATTGACAAATTGCCCAAAAGTTAGCAGCTTAAAACAAAACAAGCACATTTATTATCTCAGTTTCTGTTACCTCACAGGCATAACTTAGCTCCGTGCCTCGGGCTCTGCCTCTCTTACCAGGTACCAGCCAGGTTG